TCCTCTCTGTGTCCTATCTTTCCACATTTATGGCCAATTCTGAACAGAACCTATCCATTTAGGCTGCTTGAAAATAGGGATGTTCCTGTATAAACTAGTGACCAGCTGGCCTGGCTCATCACTGAATATTATGAATGCACGAGTCTCTACCTACTCCAGAGAACTTTCATGTACATTCTGCAATTTGACCCTCAAGGTTTTTGGTGCTGGGAGAGGAGCACATCACCACCACTCCTCCATTATACAGAAGAGGAAGATGAAACAAGTAGTTATCCCTACCATCACGTAGTTACTAACTGAATTATGGAGCTAGGTAGAGCAATGCAGTTCTAGAATAGAAATCAATGCTGCTCTAGAATTGTAGGACATATACGTCATTCATTGTTATATTCTGCATACATTAATTGAATAAGACCTGTGAGTAAAAGCACTGAACTGTCACCCCAGACGACCTTGCAAAGGACTTAGAAAAGAACAGACCCTTGGCTCAGCACCCGTAGCACAGTGGTTACAGCACTAGCCATATGTACTAAGGCTGATGGGTTCAAACCTGACCTGGGCCTACTAAACAACAATGGCACCTGCAACAAAAAGATAGCCGGGCATTGTGGGGGGTGCTTGTAGTCCCAGCTACTTGGGAGGCTGAGGCAAGAGAATCACTAAAGCCCAAGAGTTTGAGGTTGCTGTGAGCTGTGACAACATAGCACTCTACTGAGTGCTACATAATGAGACTCTGTCTCAAAAAAAAATAAAAAATAAAAAAAAATTCTAAGTCAAAAATTCACTTAATACAATTATTCAATTGAACATCATAGCTTACCCCAGCCTACTTTAAATGCAGTCAGAGAGCACTTACATTAGCCTACAGTTGAGCCTAATGTAGGCTCTAACATAAAACCTATTTTATATTTAAGTGTCGAATAGCTTTATTATTTATTATTTATTAATACTATAGTGAAAGCAAAAAGCAAAATGTATGTATGGGTACTCAAAGTATGGTATCTCCGGAACGCATATCACTTTCACACCATCACAAATTCAAAAAGTCATCCCATCAAACAAACCATCGTGCGTCAGGGGCCATTTGTACTTTTGGAGTACAAAAGGTACCAATGAAGGATCTAAGTAAAGTTCTTTTCTTCTTTGAAACCAGGGGCCACTTTTAAGTGATCTTATCCGCTTCAGTATCATGCACAAGAAGAGACGAGAGGAAGGACTAACAAAGAGTTGACAAGGGCTGACTCAGCTTTCTCTGTGTATTTGTATGTTTCACTTGGATTTTAAAAAGTTTGCATGGGGCTCCTAAAAGCTCTCCTCACAAACAAGTTTCTTGCCCTACTTCTCTCCAATTAAAGATACACTTGGGATTAATAAAATCATCTCCTTAGAAGAGTGAGGCCCGCACGATGAGTCCCTGTC